TTATGGCTTTGCTGCAGCTAGCTTTGAAATTGAAATTCACGATTTCTCAGAAGTAGAGCAAAATATTATTCATTCATTAAATATTATAGTATATGGTATACTAATTTATGAATTATGATATATTCTTAATAATCAATTATTGAGTATATTAGAACACAGCAATATGTTATAATGTACGCAGTAATTGATTATTAAGAATATATCATAATTCATAAATTAGTATACCATATACAGATACAATAAATTATATTAAATAAATGAATAGTATTCTATTATTCTAATGGAAAATTATGAATTTTTTGTCAACAACAGGACCAGCTCCTCCTCCTGGTACAAACAAGCCATTGATAGGAGGTTCTCTACTCCCTCCTATTGCGTTAATGGATATACCAGATGATAAACTAAAAGTATCTGAGTTGATAAAGTTTCATGAGTTATTGAGCAAAGGACAACTGGAGGAGTTTCTACAACTGCTTGATGCTGATACTGTAAGAAAGATTAGAAATGCTACTGCTGCTGAAGGAATGGATCTACTTAGAAGAGCATTTGAAGAAAATCCAACACTGCTCCATGAAATGAGAGTAGCTACTGGAAAAATAAAAGGTAACATGTCAACTGCATAGTGGTCTATTTTATAGTACTAAATAGGTTCATTGCATTTAAAGGAAAAATTCAAAATTCCTCCACCAAAGGCACCTTTACCACACCGACCATCACTAACTACACAAGCCTCACAAACAGAATCTACTATTAATACTCCATCAGCTGTACCATTAGTAAGAAAAGGCACCCAGTCACCAGAATACATGACAATGAAAGAGATGTTAGCTGATCTTGTTGATCTGTTAGCAGGAAATCCTCCAGTTATTTCACAATTAAATAATTATTTCTTTTCATCTGATCTCATTCCTAAAGCAGTTCATGTTACTGTTGGAACCACTGGACTCACTCCTTATGATAGAGCTAATAAAATATTCTCTTCAGTACTAGCAACACTTGAGTGTCATCCTAATGCTAACAGTGTGTTCTCTTCTCTCGTTACTGCACTACAGAAAGTAGGACTAAACAGCATGGCATCTAAACTAAGTATGTTTAAAAGTACATATGCATTATGCTTATTTACTTTTTGATTTATAATAGAAACAAAAGGTGGTGATGTTGATCCTAATCTAGAGCAGCAACCATCAGTCAGTAAAGGACCACTTCAACCAGTGGATGTCACTGCACAATCTCACACACCACAACCAACAATCACTGGATCACAATCATCTACTCCTACTACTGTCATTGAGCTCAGTTCAAAGAGTGAAGTTGCTACCAATATTGGAAGTCTTCATTCTCGTTTTGCAACTCTTGATTCTAAAATGAGAGGAGAAATTGAGAAATTAGTACAAAAGGGTAAACCTGAACTTAAAGTTATAGCTAGGAGTGTAGCTGCTTATTTAAAGATGCCAGTATCCAGTTTGAAATATGGTGACGTTGATGAACTATTTGATTCTCTTCAGCCTCATTATGATTTCTTCAGTTGTGGTGTACTTAAACACTTGACAGACACTTACCTTTCAACTGCACAAACTGAACTAACTCAATACATTGATAGTGTCGATGAGTTCTCAGAATCATCACAATTGAAGCACATACGATCAATAATCAAAAAGAAATTGTCATCGTTACCAGCAGCAGCCTCACCAACCACTAGCGATCAAACAAAACCAGTCGTAATTAAACTGAATGACAGATGGGAAGAAATGACAATAAATAAACTCAAGACAGTCCTCAAGCATTACTTTGGAGTAATGTCAGATCTCTTCAGTCACATTGACTTTGATTATGGTTCCTTTGTTATTACACTGTCAATACCAACCTCACTATCACAGTCTCTTATTGATACTATCAATAACAATAAAGAATCAATGAGTAGATTAGGAATATTGGAAGTAGCTGTTGACAAAGATACAATTCCTATCAGAAGAGAAGACGATAACAACTTCAACACTTCACTCCATGAATCAGTTAAAGCTGGTGATAGTTTTGAAGTATCAATACTACTGCAGTTAGGAGCTGATCCTAACAGTAAAGATGAGAGTGGAAAGAGTGCAGTAGAGAAAGCTAATGAAGGAGGACACACTCAAATAAAAGAAATACTATTAATTGGTGGAGGTGAGTTAAGTATTTCATTATTAATACACATATACATGTACATACAGTATTATACTTTTAATGCATGCATGTACCAATACCAGTAATGATATTCATGTATTGAAGTATGTGCAATACTGTGCGTAGTGTTCAAATTAATAATTACATAAAAGCAATTATTGTTCCAAATTTTCATCAAAAAAACTGTTGTCATGTTTAAATCACATTTTGTCATTAATAATTATAACGATCTGCAAGGGAACAGCAAAATCAATACAATTAATATTATTTCACCACTAACATATAACCACTAACATATAATCGCTTACTGATTAAATGATATATAGGGATGGCAGAATCTATTTACACAGCACGTATTGACTATCATGGAATACGGAGTAATGATCTTTCATTCAGTGAGGGAGAGCAGCTGGAGATATATGACAAGTCTCATAGTTTTGAGTGGAAAGGAAGATCCTTGGTGTCTGGTGATGAGGGACTCATTCCTAGTAGTTGTGTTTACTCAATGTTGGAGTCACTTCATTTGTTAGAGTTTATACTGTCAGTGGAAGAAGTGTCCCTTCCTATTCTACAGAAGATAAGGAATGATTCATCTAGTAATGATGAGAAAGCTTCTCTTTTCTTGGAGACTATTAATGATGATCCTATTATGATATCTGCACTGAGACAAGACAAGAAACAACATGATAAAGGTAATATTTGTGATTATTGTGACAGTCAGTATAATTATTAATGAACATGTAATGTCATGTGTACATGCATACTTGTGTATGTAGCATGTACAATGTACATGTAATTTTATACATTATATTCCTGTCCCTACATATGTACACATTACATGTGTGTATGTATGTACATATGTATTGTGTGTGTGTATTTGTTTATTGGTTGTAGTGACAACTAGCAAGTTGTGTGTGTTTGTATATACACATGATGTGAATATGTGTATTATTATGTACATACATGTATATAAGTATAATCCTTTGGTTTATATTAGGAGTCACTGGGGGAGTAGACTGGGGCAGTGACAGTGTATACCTTTCCTCTCCATCTCCAGTTCAGTGTAATGAAGTGATTAGTAATATTAAAAATGATCATAAAGAGATTAGACTCAACTTCTCATCTACTAATAGTACAGTATCTCTACTATCATCAACTAAACTGCATACACTAAACCTGAGGAGACTTCAGATATGGTACACTCCATTAACTAATGATTGTATCCAGTACTTGTGTATACTACTAACTAATAATAAAACAATACAAGAACTAGACATCAAGTCCCACTCCATTAGTGATAGAGGAGTTACTAATATCTGTCAAGCACTTGAACACAACTCTACACTTACCTCATTAGATCTTTATTATAATCCTCTCATCACTTCTACTAGTGGACAGGCTCTTTCTCACCTCCTCCTCAACTCATCACTAGTTGAACTGAATCTAAGGAAGACTTCATTGTCTACTGAGTCAATACTACTCATCCTCCAGTCACTAATGGATAATAAGAAGATAAGGAGACTCAGGCTAGACAAGCGACACAAAGAGGCTTGTATTAATACTTATCCTAACTATCACCTCATACAAGACAGAGTAGACTGGAGTAGGTACTAATCACTCTTCATGTGAACTTGTGTATCTTCACCAAAGAACAAGCGACCAATCAGAATACGCTATACATGCTGATCTGCTAT